GAGCGCAAGCGACAGGAAGCCATCAATGAGGTTATCTATACTGAACGCGATTTTGTAGCAGACATGGAGTACTTGCGGGATCGGTGGGTCAAGCCGCTGCGCACTTCTGACATCATCCCTGAAGATCACCGCGAGGACTTTGTCACCCAGGTTTTCTGGAACGTTCTCGAGATCCACGCTGTCAACGCCAGGCTGGCCGAAATGCTCACCAAACGACAGAAGCAGGCAGATATAGTCGACAGAATCGGTGACATCTTGCTCGAGATGGTACCTCACTTCCAGCCCTTCGTCAAGTACGGTGCTCATCAACTGTACGGAAAGTACGAGTTCGAGAAGGAGAAGTCGTCCAATCCAGCCTTTGCCAAGTTTGTCGATGAGACAGAGCGTCTTCCGCAATCACGCAAGCTTGAGCTCAACGGCTATTTGACCAAACCCACGACGCGACTTGCACGATACCCCTTGCTGCTTGAGCAGGTGAACAAGTATACCCCGGAAGATCACCCAGACAAGCAGACGGTCCCCAAGGTGATCAAGATTGTCAAAGAATTCCTCACCAAAGTCAATGTAGAGACGGGTAAGAGCGAGAATCGTTTCACTCTCGCTCAGCTCGATCAGCAGCTGGTGTTCAAGCAAGGCGAAGCTGTCGATCTGCGTCTGCGAGACGAACAGAGAGAGCTCGTCTTCAAAGGCTCGCTCAAGAAGCGCGGTGGAACCCAAAGCGAAAGCGCGGAGCTTCAGGTGTTCCTCTTCGATCATGCGTTGCTGATGGTGAAGCCGAAGATGGTCAATAAGCACGAGCTCTACAAGGTCTACCGCAAGCCGATCCCGCTCGAGCTGCTGATCGTGACGGTCTACGACGAAGTTCCAACAGGCAAGGGAAGCTCCACACGGCCCAAGTCGGTCATGTCGTGCACTTCGACAGGAACGCGCTACAGCGGCACGCCGGGAACAGCACCCAAGCAGGACGCCAAGACTGGCTATGCACTCACCTTCGCCTACCTCGGCAAGAAGGGTTACTCGATGACGCTATGGGCAAGCACGTTCGTCAGCCGCAAAAAGTGGTTCGAGAACATTGAGTCGCGACAGGAGATCCTCCGACAGCGCAGCAACATCTTTGATACCATCACGCTTTCCGAGAACTTCTTGGGACCCAATCGTGTCAACTGCTCGGTGCCGTTCGACTTTGGTCGCCGCATCATCTATGGCACTGACGACGGTGTCTATCTGTCAGATCTGCGCGAAAAGGCAAGACCGCCAACGAAAGTTCTGCCATTACCGGGTGTCACGCAGGTGGATGTGTTGGAAGAGTACCAGATCCTCATCGTGCTCGCAGAGAAGTCGGTGCACACTTTCACGCTCGATGCTTTGGACCCTTCTGATCCGATGGGCTCGTTGAAGCGCGGTCGCCGCATCTCTTCGCATACATCCTTCTTCCGTGCCGGTATCTGTCTAGGACGCACATTGGTCTGCGTAGTCAAGTCGAGTTCGCTCTCTTCGACGATCAAGACATTGGAACCGATCGAGCAGAACGTTCGAGGCAAAAAGCAGCCAACGTTCAAGAAGCTCTTGCAAGGTGGACAGGACTCTCTGCGTGTCTTCAAGGAGTTCTACATCCCCACCGAGTCGAGCTCGATCCACTTCCTCAAGACCAAGCTCTGCGTTGGTTGCACCAAAGGTTTCGAAATTGTTGATCTCGAGACGCTCGACACACAGGGCCTGCTCGATCCCGCCGATACATCACTCGACTTCGTCCATCGACGGGAGAACGTCAAGCCCATCGCGATCTACCGCATTTCAGGCGAATTCCTGTTGTGCTATGACGAGTTTGCGTTCTATGTCAACAAGAACGGTTGGCGTGCTAAGGGCAATTGGATCATTCACTGGGAAGGGAACCCGACTTCTTTCGCCTACCATCATCCATACGTCCTCGCCTTCGAGCCGAGCTTCGTCGAGGTGCGACATGTGGAGACAGGTGCACTGCATCAGGTCATTACCGGTGTCAACCTGCGATGCTTGTTTGCCGATGTACCACCACCGACGCCGAGCGTGCACCAGCAGAACGCGCAAGCAGTGGCAGCGATGCGAGCTAACTCGTTCAATGCAGCAGCAGCGATCATGGGTCCATATGGAGCAAGGCCAATGGTACCTCCACCTCTGCAGAACGGAATGGGACCACCAATGGCGCCTTTCCCAGGAGCAAGGCCTGCGTTCGGTCCGAATGGGGCTATGGTGCCTCCTCCTGGCACGCCAGGCTTTGGGGTTGGGATGCGACCAGGTGGTCCACCGATGGCAAGGCCTGCTCCAGGTGCTTTCCCTGGTGTGCCGGGTGTACCAGGTGCGCCGCCGATGGTTCATCCCGCCGCAGTAGCGGGGACGCCATTCCCACCTCCTGCAGCGGTCGCAGCAGCAAGGCCGCAGATGCCATACGCTTTCGGACAGGCTTCTACGCCCAGACCTCCTCCAGCGGTGCAACGCAACCCAGTATGGGAGTCTGTGGCTGCCAGCAGGAACCAGATTGTGTTCATCGGCGATACTACGGTGTTCTGCGTCCGATTGCACACGGATAAAGGATCGAGCAGTGGATCTGTCTCACCTTCTAGTTCGAGTATCAAGGGTTGAGGTGTTTCCCTCGGTGTTGTCTTGATGTTGATTCGTATTCTTTGTACATCATACCTTTCATATATTACGCATGCAATCTTGCTTTTTCTCTCTTCTTTCTCGGCTTTGTGCGTGTGTCGAAACGAGAGTGAGCTGGCGAAACTGGAAATGTGCGTTTCTGCTGCTGACGTAACACAAGAGGACATTCAGTTTTTCGTACGTGTGCATTAGAATTTTCAGTGGCAATGCTGAGATTCGGATTGGTCCGGCTTGTAGGAGTTGAATTTCTGGAAAGTTGACTCTCGTGCGGAAGGGAAATTGGTACGAAGAACGCGATCAGGTGGGGGTTGGAAGATGGTCGTCGCTATCAGCTTTGCCTTTGTTACTGCATCTTACACATCATTTTTCTATACACATCTGTTGGATCTGGCAAAGATGAGAACTTCTCAGGCAGCGTTTTCGGGTATGCCTACGGGCAAGAGATATGTAAGTCCTTCGCTCAAGTTGTTGCTGTTAATGATGGGGATGGATCGGAGGCGTGGATGGGTTGGCATTCGTGGTAGATTCAGTCGAATGGCGACGGAAGACGGACGAAGGATATTTTGAAGTTAATGCAGGCAAGTTTAGTGTGAGAGGTAGTAAAGCATGGATAGGAGGATTAGAGTAGCGGTACTTTTGTGATAATCTAGTCGATGGTGTAGTTTGCTGATAGTAGTTTGGGTTTTTTTTGGTCTTCCTATCTCGTCTGCGTTCGTTACTGTATCAACAATCGCATTCCCATCCTCGGACATGCACTTGACACTCCCATCACTTGACCCTTCGCCACGACCGACACTTCACATATCCGTCCCAACAATCGCCTCGACCCTTCTATAAAACGCATTGCCTCGCTCCACACTCGTTTCTTTGACGACGACAGATGGGATGGTGGGGCGACATGGGCGGTCCAACTCAAAAGGGTATCATTCAGTACTCCGTCTCTCCGTTCCAGCAGAATGCGATGAAAGGTGCTCTTCACTCTTACCTCTTCTATGGATTCAAGCGGATCATGCAGCAGGCTCCTTACTTTGCTATTCCTTTCGCTGCAGGTAAGTTCGACATCTCTCTTCTGTTGGGAGATTAGAATGAGATTGGGAGTGCAGTGAGGGTAAGGAGATGTACTGACATCGTTATTTTGGGTTGCGTTTTGGATAGGATACGGCCTTATTGCTTGGGCAAAGAGTAAGAACGCTTATTACAACTCTAAGCAAGGTCATTTGGAGCATGGTCATGATGAGTAGACTTTTGCTTTCTCGTTTAGTCGGCTTGTCTTCACACAGCAAATATAGCATCCTTTTCTCGTGTGGGGAATCAGTCGTGTGGATTTGTGGGTCGATAGATGGCGAATGAGTGGTCAGGTTGGTACGCTCAAGCTTGGTCTTATTTGATGGAGCGTAGTGTCGTTTCGAATCTTTCGGTTTCGAACAAGCTCGTCGACGTCGAGTTCGACGAGGAGCGCTCAAGTCCAGTCGGAACTTGGTTCGTTCTCGTGACTTGATGGAAAAGATGTGTTGTGCGCCATGCGTGCGTTCCGGATGCGGACTGGCAAGAGTTCTTGCCGAGCGCAAGCGTACCTGTGAGGAGAGTCATGCTCAATTCCACTGCTTCCAGGACACTCGATCCGAACCAGGTGAGCACAGCACATGTAGCAGTGAAGACAAAAGCGTTGGTCAAGTCTCGGCTGTCAGGAAGCGGATGTCGAAGTAAGTAAGGTCCGCTCGAACACGGAGCGAGCGAGAGATGGTCATTGTTTGCCGACGAAACCTCGCTTCATATTGCCATTGACTCGAGTCGTTCCGTCCTCCGTTTTGTAACGGGGACAGTCGGTGATGCTTCACTTGACGACGGCTTCGCTCCCACTGACAGATGGACTAAATATACCGCAGCTGCTGTTTCACTAGCTTTCGCAACTTGTGTCTTATTGAGTGGCATCTTGTTGATTACCCTCCGCTCCGACACCGGAGACGCTTTATCGTTGCAAGGAGCGACATCCTGGACTCTTTCTCGTGACATTCATTGCTTGTTTGAGCACCGCCAGATTGGAACCAGGAGAAATTGAGACGAAGCACAAAGACCACCCTGACAACACTCTGACTGTTGAACATCGCCTCTTGCCACTGGCGCCACAACTCTCCTCTAGCACACTCTCATTTGATGTGCCGTCGCACTTCTCCGCACTCACAGGGAAACAGAACCGTATTCACACATGCAGAGCTAAAAACAATTGTCTCCGCTTGTTGATGGACAGGCTGACAGGAGTAGAATTGGTGCCAGGTATTGTCGCCACACCGCAACTTCAATGCTCTATCACCGTTGTACTACTTTGCATTATATATGTTTATTGCTTTCTGCCTTTCACAAAGTCCCAGTTAGTACAACGGTTAGTATACGGCACTTTCACTTCAAAAAAATTCTAACCAGACTTCATGGTGTGAGCTGCTGAGATCGGGGTTCGATTCCCCGGCCGGGAACAACTCTTTTTTTCATTTCCTGACTGGACTCAGTTTAACACCTGTGTGTTGCAGTGGTTATACATTTTTCTTTTGCTGATTTGAGGTTCAGCCGTGGTCGACCATCTTTTGCTGTTGTCAAGGGCATTCGACAGCTGAAGAGATGCCACTCATGGCCTTACGGTGAGATGAAGAAGCCAATGAGAGCAAGGTAAAAGGGGGGGAGTTAGAGGCTAGGCGGTGATAGGCGGGGCAAACTTAGCTTTCTAGTCTCTCTTATATCGATGATCCCAACTTTCCAGCCAACTTGGTACCGTATACTAACCTCCTAGCGCGAAACCCGCAATCATGGTCGCACCAGCACCAGCAGGAATCTACCGCAACTCACTCCTCCCCGCAGTGCATTTCGGAAGAGGATGCATCTCCACTGCACTCCGCAAGGCCATCGAGTGACTCAGTAACGTCACAGGTCGTAAAGCCTTCATTTTGACAGGACACTCGATTGCCATTTGAACAGAGGTTGTATCTGGAATCCAGTCGATTCTTATCTCTGAGCGGCTTTGTTGCGGTGAAAGGAATTTCGAGGTTGGCGAGCATGTTGGGCGCAGCGTATGCAATCGCTCATGTGATTTCCGTGGTTGTGGAATGCATGGCAGTGAGTGTGAAAAGAATGCCAACGAGAACGACAAGTTCTTTTCAGGGAGACAAGAAATTGATGCTTCTAGTCATCATCGAAATCCATCCCCTCCGCCTTCCCACTCGCCGACTTCCTAGCCCGCAGCGACTTCGATCTAGCATCTCTTGGCGATTCATCCATCTTCCCAGTCTCCTGTTCTTCCTGCAACGTCGTTTTCGGAGGCTCATCCTCCGCTTCCTCATCGCTACTTGCATCAGTACTCAATTTCAACTTACTCCCTCTACTCGCTGTCTTTCCTGGTTTACTCGGGGTCTCCAACACCCCTCCGCTCATACTTCCTCCTACACTTACCCTCCCAGCGCCTCTACTACCAGTATTATTATTAAACGGCGAGCTAACGGGCGCTGAACTTGGTCGGCGAGAGTTAAAATTTCCACAATGAGGACAAACATACTGCACCTCATTAAACTCCTCCTTCAACGCCAGTCCGTTGTGGCGGAAACAACGATTGCAGATCAAAGCGTATTTCTGTTCGGGACCTACGACGGAAGGATCTGAACCGAGGATTGCATCTGCCAGTTTGTCTGTCCATGTTTTCTGCATCGGTAGTACTGGGATTGAGGCTGTGGGGGGTTGTTGACGGGATTGTTGACGCATGGAAGCCATTTTTTGTGCTTGGAGATTTGCTGCGGTTTCTGGTGTTGCCGAACCTGCAATTCTCTGTTGTTGTTGTTGTTGTTGTTGTTGTTGTTGTTGTTGTTGTTGTTGTTGTTGCTGTTGTTGAGGAGAGGGGTTGTTGGGAGACTTTGTCGGAGTGATATTTTTGGAGTTAGGTTTTCCTTTCATAGGTGTGGAAAGCTCCGCTTTGACAGGTGAAGCTTCATCATACTTATCCAGTAGCATTCGAAGGTGATCATACTTTGTAGCTTTCTTAATCTCATCGATCTTTTCTCTCTTTTGTCTTCTTAAATCGATCAAATGTTTCTCTTCTGCCGCTCCAATCCTCCTATACCACCACCTAACAATTCTCCTTGTTGAAATAATCAGCACTGGACTGCCTAGGACTGGGATCCAAACTAGATATGTTCTTGTTCCAACCCATCCCTTCTTCCCCGCTCCTCCTCCTGCATCCAAATGATGAGGTCGTTGCAGGGAAAGTAAACCGAAAAACCAACAAACAAAGGTGTAGATAGCCCAAAGGAGGAATGCTTGTAGGGTTAGAGTGACTGATGCACGTCGTTCTCGAAGTCGGATTTGAGTGAGACGGGATTGTACGGTTTGGATTTCGGTTTCGAGTCGAGACAGGACGGTTTCGTAGTCTGTTTCGCGATTGCTGCGACGACGAGAGAAGGGGAGAAAGGTGCCAGAGACTAGGGCGTTGAATATGCCCATCTTGATGAAAGCGGGGGAAGGGGGATGGTGGCAAGGAGAGGATGGAAGAGAGGGGAGGGGAGGATGGAAGAGGAAGAGGAAGAAGGATTGGATTTTGGTAGTAGTGGTGGTCCCTGCGCGTGAAGGAGGAAAAATTCCACGCGAGTTGTCGTGTGTGTGTGTGTGTTGTGTTGTGTTAGATCTTTAATCACCACACATTAGTAGGATAACCCGCAGACAAAAGAAATTTGCCGCATTCGTGTGTGTGTTGCAGCCACAACCGAGTGAGGCAACTTGAATCAATTTTAGCCATTCCACATCCAACACAGCTCCCTCTCGCCTCAACTGCGCCATTTCCAACGCTCTTTCTCCTATCCTCCGGCAAAGCTCAGTCAAAACATCAATCACAACAACACTCAATCGCGATCCACACACCAACAAAGGCTGAGTTTTTCGAGTTGAAATACTACCGAATTGCCTAAAGAAAGCACTACGAATAGAGAGGTATACAAGTTGCTCGCAAAGCATCAACGCCCTTTACCACAATCGCAAAAGTAGTGCAATAACGAACCGAGCTTACAAGAGCGAGATGTGAAATAGAGAGACAGATACGAGAGAGAAACAACGACAAGAGACACGATGAGGATCGACTAATGGTACATCTTCACAAGAAGCGCACGAGACGCGTACAGCGCAACAAAGAGAGGGCTTACGACATCAACGAGCTAAGAGTGGAGCAAGCAAGATTAGGATCGCTCACCGCGGAGACGGCGGGCAAGGGCGATGTCCTTGGGCTGGATGGTGACACGCTTAGCGTGAATGGCAGCCAAGTTGGTGTCTTCGAAGAGCGAGACGAGGTAGGCCTGCAGAGAATAGAGCGAGCAAGGAATAGAACAGAAGGTGAGAGAAAGTCAATCATTTGTTCGCTAATGTGGCTGAGTCGAAAGAAAAGAAGGCAAGGTGGCGAGGTGGTTCAGTACTTACCTCGGCGGCCTCCTGAAGAGCACCAATGGCGGAAGACTGGAAACGGAGATCAGTCTTGAAGTCCTGAGCGATCTCGCGAACAAGACGCTGGAAGGGCAGCTTGCGGATGAGGAGCTCGGTCGACTTCTGGTAACGACGAATCTCACGAAGAGCGACGGTACCGGGTTTGTAACGGTGAGGCTTCTTAACACCACCGGCAGCGGGGGCGGATTTGCGGGCTGCCTTGGTGGCGAGCTGCTTACGGGGAGCCTTACCACCGGTAGACTTTCGGGCTGTCTGCTTGGTACGAGCCATCTTTCTGTTGATTTCAAGTCCAAGTGATGTGTGCGGGTCGAGTCAAGCGGAGGTGAGAGGTGGTGATGACGAGGAGAGTGAGGTGACGGCGGCGGCGGTGGTGGCGGTGGTGATGGTTGTGAGCGAAAAGTGATGGCGATGCGGAGAAGATGAAAAAGGCGCAACAAGGAGCATAGCGGATGGATCAGCGCGGCGCAGGGTCAATTAAGCGGAGGCGAAAAGAAATTTCGGATCCGAAAATGGAAACAGCGCGGAGCAAGTGACACCATCGAAAATGATGATATGAGCAGAGCATTAGCGCGACGGTGGCGAGGATCAAGAGTGAAGAAGAGGTGTTGAGATGAAGGGGAATGAGGCACGAGAGCAGAGGAAATGGTGAAAGGAAACACGAAATGCAGAGGCCAGGTGAAAATGAGGCACGAGAGCAGTGCGGGAAATTCAAGGGAAATTAGAACGCGCGAGCGAGCCGAGGCGAGGGGCGGTGTCAGAGAGTCGGAGAGACAGAGCAGATCGCCAACAGGGAGAGGTCGAAGGAGAAAAGCGCAGCAAGCGATAACCAAGCAGCAACACCATCAATAGCAGAGCCGGGATGAAAACAAGGGTAAAGGGGGCAATCACAAAGAAGCAAGGAGATTCCAGAGGTCAGCAATCTGAGCCACCACCATCTTACGACGAGACCACGCCAGTTCGATCTGAATGCGCTGAAAGCATGATTGAGACAGCGAGGTCGAAAGAGGAGATGAATATGGTGTGAGTACCTACGCTGAGTTTTGCTGGAGAGGATGGTTGTAGAGAGGAAAAGGGGGAAAGGTGGGATTGCAAGGGGAAGGACGCTTCTTTATACGTGTTTTTGGGAGCGAGCTGAGCGAGCTGAGCGAGCTGAGCGAGCTGAGCGAGCTGAATGAGCTGAACGAGGATTGAGGATCGGAACGAGAATAATGCAGAGCGAAAAGCGTCGAGACAAAAGAGCGGAAAGAGATGCGGATTAGGGTCTGTTTGAGAGGCCGGCCGGCCGGTTTGCGTGTGTGGGTGCGTGGCGGCGTGGCAAAGGGGCCAAAAGGAAAGGAAATTACCAAGGTTGGATTGGGGATTCGAATCCAATCGAGGCAAGGGTGAGGAGATGACAAGGCCAAGGACACGTCGGATCGATGTTGTGCTGTGATTGTAAATTATGATTGCAGCAAAGGCGTCTTTTCGGCGGACCCGTTGCGGCTGGATGATGCGATGCGAAAAGGGCGTGAGCGTGAGGTGAGGCGAGGTGAGGTGAGGTTGAGGATGAGCGCGGATCTATTTCGGATGGAAAAGACGAGGAGAGAGAGAGAGGGGTCTAATCTGGAACCCGCTCGCCCGCCCCGCCGCCAAAACGGAAAGATTGAGTGTGTGTGGGTGTGGGTGTGTGTGTGGGTTCCACTGGAGCGAGCACGAGCGTGAAGATTCAGGGTCAATGACCGGCGAAAGAGGGAAAGGAGAGCAAGTTGGATGAGCGAGCGGCACGAGATGATTATGCGTTGGCGTTGAAACGCAAGACCTGAACTGGGCTTAGAAAGCCTTGTTCTGTCATTTGTGCGTTTTCGGTCAAGTTCATGGACCGTCTTCGCATTGCCTTTTCAGCGTCGCAACCTTTGCTATCTGTGTTAGAGCTTAACCCAAACGTAGGGCATGACTTGCTATCGATGATCAGGCATCTGACACACTTTCGGTATGTCCGACAGGCAGGGAAGAGGCCCAAGGGGGA